TGGGCCTTCCTCATGATTTCATCTAGCCCACTAGGCTCCATTGCCAGGATCTTTGCTCGTACAATCGGTCCAACCCGTTTAGAAAGGCACCCTCTAAAACCTCTTCCATGATCTGAGGCAACGACGCCGCCAATGCTTCAAACCGCTCTCGAAACTCCGTCACAGTACTTTCTTGCTAATCATAGCAAACGTGTGCATTGCTTTTCCTCCTTTGACAGCCTAAAATCGTCGATACATCCACGTCTTAAGGTCATCCCAATCAGTGAATTTTTGCCGATTATCTACCCATCGGTACCATGCGAGCACAGTACCATCAAAACTAATAACCACGACCGTCATCTTCTCCGCATTAGTCAACTTATGGATATTAAAATACCTCTCAGCTCAGAAGAACAAGGATTCGGGATCCGTCCCTGTGAATATTGGCATCTCCACCTTCTTGAACTTGCTTCGGTCAGTTCCTTGTTCTAGTGCCTCTGCGATTTTCGATACCTCTTTCAGCCCTTTCGGTCACGATGACGACACCTCTCCAATCGCCGATCCAATTGCCCAGACTTTCCTCCTATGATGTTTGTCATCCATTTCTCCATTGCTTTTTGATCGACCATGAACTTCTCCAGGGTTTTTTGATTCCTCTCCACCTGATCGCGTACACTCGACATCATCTCCTTCGACCCCATCATCTCCACTTTGGTCGCGTCACACCTCTCCTCCCATTTCTTCTGCGCCATCTTGCTTAATCTCCCCAGGATGAGTGCTTCGATACTAATTTGTTAGGTATCCCCTTACAAGTTCTTGGAATTCAAAGCAAAAATGAAAGAAACGACACTACCCAGCCAATTCGAGAGGGCTGGTAATCTCTTCACAACAATAACTATCCTCAATACCAAATAAAACCTACCTTCCTCTCTGAGGGATCGATTACCCTATATTCCCTTCCCTACAGTCTCTCCTAACCAACGATCCTCACACACAACTAACTTAATTGGAAATTTCCTCTCTGCCCCTTCTAGTATAAACCCTTACAACTGGAGGCCTTGTAGGGGGATCTGTTGAGGATGCTACGTGGGAGCTTGCACCAACCATTGCCTCTCAATTTTTGGACTTCCACCTTGAGTACAAGGTGGCTCTTTGGGTGGGGGTAATGATAGACCCCAAAATCACTAAATACACGTAAGCATGTGAGATAGGAGGGACCATGTAAGCGATAAGGAGGGGATTTTTTTGTGGGCCCTAGGAATATTATTAGTTAGAGGGAATGAGGTGTAAGGCCTGTGACGTGAGAAGGGAAGGTTTTAAGATAGAATGTTGTTGAGGAGAGGGGTGTCTTATTGCATATTGAAATCTGTAAGGCTGTCCTTGAGGGAGAGTTGGGAAGCTCTCAAAATCTCCCTTGTTTTGATAAATAATAGTGAGCCCTATAGATTTGAACATGGGAAGGAGAGCTCCCATTTCTCTCAAACGGCTGAGCGCCTTTTGTATGCCAGAGGGGTTTTCTCTATGCTTTTGAATATCAAATAGTAAGGAAGGTACCTTACAGAAGTTCTATTGAAATTTGTATCAAATTATTATCTATGGAGAAATCATATTCCAATGCTTGCAATCTTTTCGATTAAGGATGATTTTTGTATTAATCTGTCAGTAAAAATCTCAAAATTGGAAAGTAAAAGAAAAAAAGAACTAAGAACAGAAGGTCCCTTCAAAGCTTATAGCCTTGTTATAATGGCGGATCAGTGGATGTTTTGAGTACGATGGGTCTGCTATAAAGAGTTGTGCACGAAAGGAAAGTAGAAGAGAATGTAATTAGTTAGAGGGGCCTGTCGAGGAAGTTAGATATGCTTTTGTGACTGAAGGTTAGGTTTGGGAGGGACAGGAAGCTCTATAATTCTTCCCTTGGCTATACTTCTGTGGATAAATAATATTCAGTCTATCAGTGTAGCCTTTTCAATAAGAGTGTGACCAGTGGGTCTTTGGAGGGATCTTTTCATCAGGAAGGAAGGGTTCCTATTAATCCTGCTCAGTTTGTCAATACCTCCTTACTTTTCTCCTTTCAAATAAGATTATTATTTATTCAAAACACTAACTTGCTTTGAGCTTTTCTTCAGCTTCAAGTTTAATCTGTCTAAATGCTTAATAGTGGGCATAAACGTTTGATGATGGTTTGGTTGAGTACCAAGCTCATTTAAGGGGGGTGCATGCTGTTATGTAAAATGGCCTCATTCATCTACTTGGGAATGCTGCTTGGCAGTAACCCATCCTCTCTAGGTCGCTCCTTAGAGGAAAAGCTCTTAATAGAATCTCAAAGCGAAAGAATATGGTGCTTTTTGAAGTGGGAGTTTTTAGCGTTGTTCTAGATAGGGTATTTGATCTATCTTCCTATTTTCAAGATTCCTTCCAATGTGGCCATTTTTTTTGGAAAGGAAAATTAGGAACTTTGTTCGGATAGGTGCTAATGATTTGAATGGTTGCAATTTAGTCAGGTGGAACAATTATTTTCTCCCACCAATGAAAAAACTTGTTTACATTTCATAAAGATAAATGAAAGTACAAAAAGGCTTGCATAAAGATGGCCAAATTAAAGCTGGGAAAATCCAGATTACAAAATAAGGGGTATATGCAGCCCCAAGATTTGAACAAGTTATCAAGTAAATATACTTGTACAAAACATAATTGAAAGCCACAGTTTACAATGCCACAGAAAAGTTGGCTTCCTTTTATTCTATAGCTCGACTCCAAAAGGTGTAATATTCTATCTCATTGCTGGTTGGACGAAGTTATTATATTGATTTACCAAGAGTACAGTTTACCACATTTATTTCCTTTTGGTCTCAAATCAGTTTACTAATGATTTTTTCTCTCTCTCTGAAATTATTAACAAATACTTATCCTTAGTAAAGGCCTTTTGACCATTTTTCCAAGTTCTTAGATCGGAGGTTATTTTGTGATTAAACCCTACCATTGTAATTATTTTTCCGACAGACATTCACATTCCTATTGTGCTTGTTATGGGGGTAAAAAGATTTGAAGTTTTTTGTTTCTTTTTTTTTTTAGTTCAACAAGTAGGGTGGGATCCAAACCTTGGTTGAGGATATATGGCTTAGGGTGGCAAGTTTTGTGTTTTCTTGACGACATATATAAATATAAAATTCCATGAGAAAAATACATTTGTTAGAGTTATGAAACAACGCAATTCTTTACTTTACATTTTACTCTAGTGGTGAATTTTTGTAGTCACTGGTGATAAAAATACTGTGAGAGATTCAGAGGTAACTGATGAATGGATTCAATAGAGCTGCAGAGAGACGAGAGATTCCATAATGAGAAGATTTTGTTCTTCTAGGTGACCAGATTAGTAGAGTTCTTATATCTCTATGTTGGGTCTGTTAAGCGAAGCGAATTTATGGTAATAATAATTGTCAGCAATGATAAGCTTCATGATACATATCCGTTTTTGGTTTGCTATAAAGTTTTATGGAGTCTGATGTGTTTAAGAGGGTAGATAATCTTTTGGGGCCGATCGATTTCAAATTGATCGGGTATTGGTAACCATTAAGAGATGAAACTTGGTATTATCAGCCAATTCAGCCCAAAAAGAATACCGCCCATAATACCAAGTTCCATCTAACTCTAACTTGGTGGTATTGTTCTAAAATTGTATTTGGTTCTGTCATTCTTATGGTATTCATAATTTTTTGCTATGTTAATGCTGGCTGATCAATCAATCTTGATTGCGTGCTTGAAGAACATTTATCCTTATACATTGGAAAAGTATCTGCAAAGAACAGTTGGTTCATCGAAAATTTTGCTTTTGTGTAAAGTTTTGGGCATTGTTGATTTGGCAGGTAAAATAAGTAAGAAGTTTGGCACAAGGGAAGGAGCATAAATGTTGTGGAACATTGTGAATATGAAGGCTATTATAAACATGGAGATGCTGTTGTTGTTAATGCAAGAACAATGTAGAGATATGGGTTTGTATTTGGTGAAGGTTGAGTTTGAAGCTGTGTTTCTTAATAAGATCATTCAACTTCGTTCTGGCTGTCTTGCTTGGTCTCAACTTTACGTTCAAAAATAAAAGTGAAATTTTCTATTTATTTGAAATCGCCACCAGAAACGAGTATTAAATTTAATGTTATTCACTGTCCAAGGTAATGATAATTGTATATAGCGAATGCTTTGCTTTTTTTAAATCATTAGGCTTAGGCAATCGAAATCTACCATCAGCCAGAGTACAACGGAAGATTAAAGGAGTAAAATAAATTAGAAAATGGCCAGATAAATCAAAACCGTTTATGTTAAAATATTATTTTGGTCTCTGAATTTTAGTTTTGATTTATTTTAGCTATTGTATTCTCAATTTTAGTTCATAAGTTCTTGTGTTACACTATATTCTTAGTAAGTTTAAATTGTAGGACTAGATAGTTACTTTAGAAATTTGCTGGTTGGGTTTTAAAAAGTCTCTAAAGAAATGTTGATTAATTAGTAAAAGGAATCAGAGAAGGAAAAAAAAAGTGGTTTATTTCAAACAGGGGAAAAGAAAACAATAAGGAAAAGAAAATAGATAAGAAAGAAAGAAACAAAAATAGATATAAGGAAAAGAAAAGAAAAATTAAAGGCTGATGTGATGTAAGAAACCAAATGTTGATTTCTTAAGCCCAAGTCCACCTAATCCAAGTTCATCTTCCCATATCTCCTTAAATTGATTGACCAACGTAATTCTACCTTTTCAGCAGCGATAAGCTATCAAAGAAAAAAAAAAATTATAAATTGTGCTAAATCTCTTGCAAACATGTCACTCTTACGAGCTCTTTTTGTCATGATTAGTTTCGTCTTGGTAATCTTTAGACCAACGTATTAAATCTCTTAAATAAAATTTAGTTGACTTTAGCTTAAGTTTTTCTTTTTGAATTTGATTTAGGTTGGGTTAATAACTTTTGTAAATTGAGTTGGTTATAATTTATTTTGAATTTGTTATTGAGATAAGTGACTCTATTGGAATTTGATTTAGGTAGGGTTAATAACTTTTGTAAATTGAGTTGGTTATAATTTATTTTGAATTTGTTATTGAGATAAGTGACTCTGCTTTCAGAATTAATTAATGTTAGGTTGGAAAGTTTTGATGTTTTGGATGACTATTTAATGCATGTTGTTTATGAAGTGAATGTTATGTGAAATTTTTGTACCATGTTTAATTATGGGACCTCATGCATGATCGTGAATATGTAAATATTTTTTTCATAAAAGTTTGTGGCAACCATCCTCAATTTACAAAAGTTATTAAAAAAACATATATGTGCATAGACTGAGATCGAAATTGAGGACCTAGGTGGGTGAGACTTAGCTGTGCTGACTGGATGTCAACTACCATAAGTTGGGGTCGAGTTCCCTAGGAAATCCACCTATGTATCATAATGGAGTTGGTATTATCTATGCGAGGATGAGTTAATTGACCAGGTCAAAAGGAAAAGGAGAAGAATATTGACTGATAAAGATTTAGGTTCCAAATGGTTATCATTAAATGATATAAGTATGTGTATATGCATGTATGATCCCGTTAGCTGGGTTACATACTTAGTATTTTTAATACTTACTATTTTTCTAAAATTTTTTTAGGTAATGGCAAAAACATATGAGGTGAGTGACAAGCTGTTTGCTGAGTGTGCCATAGGGACCGCATGGGCATAATTTTTATTTCCGCATTCCATGTTCACTTATGTTTCAAATGTTTTATTTTAGGACCCATTTGGTTCAAGGTTTTAAAAGGTTACCTGGAAATAAGATGCTTGAAAAATCAAAGATACCTTTATTTGGTTGTGTATGAGATTGGTATCAAATTTTCATGAGAATAAATGAGGTTTGCTTTTGTTGTTGAGGGGAATGTTATTGCACTAAAATTAATCAAAATCTACTTTCAAAGAGAATTAATTTTTATTAAGATAAATTAATTAAAATAATTTGAAACAATTAGATTTGAAATTTAATTTTCATTATAATTATTATAAGTAATATACTTTTAACTTTTTGTTTAGCAATAAATCTTGAAATAAAAAAACATTTAACAATTTTATTTAGCCATCAATCATTTAATTGTAATTAATGAGTATAATAATCAAATTGAAGAAATAATAATAAAGGTTATATTTCATAAATAAAATATAACCTATATCAAAGTGCTAAACATACCTAAAATTAATCATTTTTGTTTATGCAAAAATGTGCACAACGGTGTGTTCTTGATTGTAGCTCGAACTCGGCCTCCAGGCCGTCCTGGACACTTGGGCGGACCTGCACGAAAAGGTGAGCACTCCGACGATCAAGTCAGTAAAGGTCGGAGTCCAAGTTTAGTTCGAAGCCAGAGATCCCCGTCCCTGATCGTGGAGTGAAGTCCTCTACTTATGGGTGGTAGTCCCGCTAATCTCGCGACGGTTACGTTCGGTAATCTCGGGACCGTCGGTTACACCCAGTAATCCCGGGACCGACGGTTACGCCCGATAATCACGCCGTAGACAGCCGCTCACATCGGCCCCTACCAAGCTCCCCGGTAGGTCGGACCTAGGCCAGGTTCACCTCGGCCCTCATACTTAGCATTTGTCGGCGTTGGTGGCGGCCATCTCGGCCATCCGAGCTGGAGATGACTCATGAGCCATCTTGGAGCACCAATAGGGGTCCTCCACGTGTCCAGGGTATTCCCTTCCCCAAACATTGGCCCC